GCGAGTCTCAGTATTTCTGCTACTAACAACAATTTATCAATTTGTATTGTAACAACATTTGGAAACTTGGCACACTGCATAGTGTCCCACAGTGACAGACAATGCGTGAACACGAAAAGTTAACAATGCTGCTCCTGAGAAGCTTACAAACTAAAAGCTTTACAAACAAAAATCATGAGAGACAACAAGTTGCTACAGTCAGCTCTACAGGGGAGCAAAAAGAAGCAGTGATTAGCAGCTGCACTGGATAGCTATTCTTTGTCATCTGAGCTACGGAAAGGAGGATGCAGTGCTATTTTTTCCTAACATTTTTTTCAAGAGAATTCAAGAGAGAACCTTAAATTAGTTTTGGGAAATAAGTCTGAAGTCACAGTATCGCTGCAAAACATTTGTGATGCATCAGGAGTGACAGCCTGTTTTGCCATATTCTTGGTCAGAGATATGTGACAATTTTTAAACAGGTTCAGACAGGAAAACAATTAGCAGTGGGTTTGACAAACGTGCTGTCATAATCACACATGTGTGACTTTGGAAAAACCTGTCAAGGAAGTAGTGGTAAACACATCCACTCTACACTCTGCAGTGCAAAACTGTATCATGCAGAGAATCATTCTCCTTCTCTTGGAATAACTTAAAAAATTATATCCCTCCACACTTTCATATTCTCTCCATTTGCTGTAGTTATTTGTGTATCACACAAAAATTAAATTGACGTAGTAAAGACAGAGCTTAAAATACAGTCACTGATAACCCATAAATGACACCACTCTTACATAAAACGTGTCATTCATCTCAAGAAAAAAATGTTCCTCCTAAATGTGCAATAGTTATTTTATTTTTAGAACATGATGATTTTATGATAATATCTATGTGAAAATTAATATGCGAAAGCGTAAATTGTAGTGGTAGCATGGGTGACAACAGTGGGCTTCAGTGAACACAATCTTAGCCGTATGAGAGTGTTTGCTCATTAGCCATTTTTAAAACCACAACTATGATCTGGAAAGCAATGTTTGCAAATTTAGCTGTATTTTCTCTACAAAAGCTTTACTTTAATCTGTAAACTTTTTTTTTTGTTTATTTGTTTTTTAAACTCAAGCCTATTTCTAAGTGGAACTAACAGGAATATGGAATTCAAGTCAAACTTTTTTTGTTTGTTTGAATTCTCATTAAAAAAAATTCTTTGTTATTGATATTCCTGGAAAGAAAATACTGTTTCCAAGATCTAAAATAAGCTTATTTTGAAAAAAGTTTCTGCCTTAATTTATAGAACCTGTACTCAGTTTTCTGATCATCATTTTGTAAATGCATTGAATTCAAAACGTCAGTCAGCACAGCTCCATCTTCTGCATGTTTGGGCACAGGTAGTTCAGACAGAGAAGGAGACAAAAGTATCAATTACCATCCTGACTGCTCCTCCTTTCCCTCGATTTTTTACCAAAGAAAGCACTCGCACTTTGTCGCTTCCATACTTCTTGCAGTACTTCATTGCAACCTGATAGACACACAAAAAAACAGCATAAAACAAAAACAGGAATCGAGGTAGAAGTTTACATTTGCTCACCCTTTTTTTAAAATAAATTAATAGCACAGAGCTATAACCACTTCAGTCGGCACAAATACATTGCCAGTGTTTGCTGGAGGAGTCTGGGAAAATAAAAACCAGTTCACAGTCAATGCAGGAAGACTGAAGCTAGTCATGTTCAATAAGAACAGGATATTCCCTCACACAATCGTAAACCCCATTCACCCACGTCTAAAAAACTCAATACTAACGTAATTTATATCATACTATTGCAGACCTTTTATACCAACACCAATAGTTAATCAAACAAAAATAATTTTCTACTACTGCTAGCTATTTCTCACTTATCTTGCTGCTATCTGTGGTTTTAAACAAAAATTCGCAGTGATCTAAAAACCTAATCACATTGCAGAGACGTGCACATTTTCTTCCATGTTGAGGGGAAGAGAAAGCATGAGTCTTCTCCTTTATTTTTTTCTAAAGGTTGTCGTAAGTCCTTCTGAGTCCAGAGGCCCATGGCCATAGTGTGCTCAGCTAGAAATGATGCTAGAAGAAATACAAAGCAGCCAAAAATATATGCGAGCAATCCTTAATGCACAAGCTTAAGGGAAGCAAATGAAAAAGCAGCACTCATTATCGTAGCTAACTCAAACATCTTCCAAGCAGTAGCAAAAAAACGCTCAAGTTGGCCAGCCTTCCTCTCCAGTAACATACATCAAAGTTGAAGCAGAGGAACGCAGAACTATTTTGACAATGCTCCTAGCAGCACTGGAATTTTTAAATGAACAACGCCAGGAAGGGTATGGGAAAGAGCTATACAACACATCAGCTGTTCCATCAATCACAGTATGAATCAGCTATTTTAAAAGGCTTTTAGCTTCCTCAAGTTCATATTTGCATCACTATGCACGTGTAGAATATTTCGTAAGAAATCTGTTGAAGTTAAGATTAGAATTTTCATAATTTCTGGTACAGGAAAACGGCTGTCACAGCTGCCAATTGAGAATACTGGTATTTACAAAAGAATCGTATGTGTATGCGTGTGTGTATGTGACATCCACAGTGCATACAGGACAATGACAGAAAGTATTCAGAAACATGAATTTTAGTTGCCAACTACTTCAAGTACCAAAACGTAAAGGCAATACACTGTCACATTTCACAAATGCGGTACAAAAATCCACACCTCTGATTACTTGGTAAGACACCTCTTTTCTTACCTTTGTGGTTTGATCTTTACTACCATCATCAACCACTATTACTTCGTAAGTGAAGGAAGGATCTCGTTTCTTGAAAATAAAAACAGAAATAATGCATTTCATCCTATTTCTTAAGTAGGCAGTAGGTCTTTCAAACATCAGCATTCTTTTCTCCCTAGCAGTTTCCAACTCATTCATGCTTGTTGACAGGCACCAATATGACGTAATAATTTTGTTAAAGATGGTAATTATAATTAAAAAAATCTTGCCATATATGATGCCTGTTCCATTACATTGGCTTGTCCTAGTTTTCCTCAGCTACCACCTAGAACTGAAAAATCCATCTAGTTTTAAAAGGTGAAAGCTCAGAACACTACCACTGTTAAGAAAACCCAAACAAAACAAAACCCACAAACCTTCACAATGGGCTTCTTACCCAGAGAACATATCCTAATGAAGAAAAGATGCTTAAAAAACTTGTTGGAACAAACCAATATTTACTTTAGAAAGTTAAATGTATGGTTAATCCTTAATCTCTGTCTTGCAGAGATATCATGCATTCAAAGATTTTTCATCATATAGCAGTAAATTAAATTTTTGTTTAATTTAAAAATACCTTCTGGCATTCGATCTAAAAATAACTGGTAAAAGACAGAAGTATTACTTTGAAGTGGCTAAGTAATACTGTTTTAATACATACCAAAATAACAAAGTGAACAGATGACTTACTTACTGTACATAATAAAAAGATGATGAATTTTGAAGGTAAACGAAAATACCTGTCTTTTTTCTAGATAATCCAAAGCTTCATCCATCATAAAAGGCACTAGAGAAAAAGTGGAGATCAGGTTAGATTATAACAAAGCACCAAAAAGCACCTGCACAAGCAAGCAGAAAATGACCACAAAGCGAAGCTGAGCAAATTGCCTCATTTGTACAACACTAGGTTCAATAAACAAGTTTAGCACCTGCGACTCTAAGTCCTGTCCTTTCTGAATGCAAAAAGAGCAATGAAAAAAATCACACATGTAAGACAGGATAAAACATTTATTTTAAAGAATCAACTTCCCATTTTGAAATACGTAATTCTCTACCCAATATTAAAGGGAAAAAACATAAATCATTCTCCATGACTAACCCTGGAAGCCAGCACTGACTTTATCTACTTAAGCAGGCTGACAGAGAAGGGCAACAAGAGAAATTCCTAACACTAGTCAGTAACATGACTTCTTTTATTAAGGCTGCTGGCCACGACACTTCAGCCATTGAACAGAACACAACTTTCACAGCTGATTTATCTGCAGGTTAGAAAGACATTCAATCCTATGGCTGTCTTTGCAGTATATGTTCATTCCTGAACACATCTCAGCCTTGAAAAGAGAAGATTTCGGGGGGACCTAATAGCTGCCTTCCAATACCTGAAGGGAACCTACAGAAAGGCTGGGGAGGGACTTTTTACAAGAGTGTCCACTGACAGGACAAGGGGAAACGGGTTGAAGTTGAAGGAGAAAAGATTTAGATTAGATCTTAGGAAGAAATTCTTCAGTACGAGGGTGGTGAGACTTTGGAATAGATTGCCCAGAGAGGTTGTGGATGCCCCCTCCCTGGAGGTGTTCAAGGTCAGGTTGGACGGAGCCTTGAGTAGCCTGATCTAGTTGAGAGGCATCCCTGCCCATGGCAGGGAGGTTGGATTAGATGATCTCCAAGGTCCCTTCCAGCCTATGCCATTCTATGATTCTATGATCTCAGGCGATTAGTCTACCTCGAAAGAGACAGAGAACTAAATGAAAATCACAGGAAGCATATAAAGACCTTGCTTACTGAAAATAGGTGTGTGAGAACCAGGACTGAAGAATGCACTGGACTTGAGAAAGGGCCAAGCCTGCCTTGTGTCCAGATCCAATTCATTTGTCAACATCTCTCTTAATGGAATCCCAAACAGCTCGGGGTTTTCACTCATCAATAAAAGGAATGACAATGTGTGCTACTACGCCAACTCCAAATACAGCTTTAGAGCTTGATTATTTCTATTGCATCTGAAAGCCTTCACTTTTTAGTATTATGTACTCAGGTCAAGTCAAACAGAAACCAATGAGATCACCCTTTTTTCTGCTTGTCTGAAGCTGCTGCTGTTGTTTACTGAGTGGGAAGCCCTCAAATCAATTTTAGAAGTCTTCTACTTTTTGCCTTACAGCATTTACAGGGGCAATGAGCAGCCGTTCTGCTGGACTTCATTAAAATAAAGAGGATTCTTACATGAGCCCAATGCTATTTTTATCAGCAGAAATCAAGTTATACAACGTCTTAATTTTGAAATCCAATGTACTTGAACTGTTTTCTGGAAACCGTGTCCAAAGTCAGATACATAACATGGCCTGCCGGAATCTACTGCTAACGTAAACTGACCTCTGCATTATTAGAGTAACAACAGTTAGATTTTCTTATTTTTCTCAAAACAAGAAAAATCTTACACCGGTCTTCCTCATTGTACGAAGGCACAACAACAGAGAGTTCCTTTGTAGGGGGATCATGTATACTTGGAACAGATTCTTTCCTGCCTTCGGCATTTATGAAGAATTTCTCTTCTTCATGTCGGTGAAGTGTTGGCATTTTTATGGCAGTTACATGAGCAATCACACAAATCTGTGAAAAAGAAATTAGAAAAATCTTTGAGCATTCTATTAAAGCTGCTGAATGTGCTACAAGGGGCAATGAACTATATTTCAGTAATGAGAGGGCTTAATGGTGCAGTGTTTTGTCCACTAAACAAATTACTTCTCATATCATTTGATTACTCCGTTTCACCTACTGTGACCACTCCCAGCATCATTGGCTTGTTGATGTTTCCACCTGCAAAGCATATAGGTGCCCCCAAGGCCGTGACCCAAGCCCCACTGCCCCTTCCCCAAGTAACCTCTGCCATAAAAAAGCCTCTGATCCCGCAGAGCCACTGAAATCACCGGCATTGCTCATGGCCGTAGTCAGGCAAACGCGTTTGCAAAACTGCACGGCTGAAACAAATAGATAGAACTTGTTTTCTGGAGTACTTTTACTTGGGAGCACCACACACGTGGCAGAATTTCACTCTCCAGGTGTCCAACTTGCGCAGTACTTCAGTGACTCGGAAACGCACAGGTCTCCCAACCGCGAAGGCGTGTCACCAGGATATTTTACGAGACGCACTAAAGAGACGAAACGCTCCATTTCCATCCCGTTTACAAGGCGCTTCCCCCCACGCCCTGCGAGAAGACATTCCCCGCACAAACTCACGCACAAGCAC